GACCCTTAGCACCAAGCTTCCCAGAGGATTCTCCAAAGGATCCACCCCAAAGGAGGCTTCACCCCTTTAAATGCACTCCCCTCCTTTGAGGTGAATCCTCTGATGAATCCTCCTTTGAGAACCCCGCCCGAGAAGCGGCTGAAACGCTGCCAGTGGAGGAATGCGCAGCACTCCAAACGCGGCAGCGCATGGTCAGAGGGAAAGCAACGGCAGCAGAGGAAGCAACAGCGGCGGACATGATGCAAAGTGCCCCACCACCACCGCTGCCTGCCCACTGACCCGGCCTGCACCCAGCACTATACCCAGGTCTGCAGCAAAGGCGCTTGGTGGGGGTAGGGAGCTCTCCACGCTCTGCCATGATCGGCTGTTAGGAGCGGCTGGTGGCAAGGCATGGCTGCCTGCGGGGTGCTCTAACAGCAAGTTCCCCCTGCCTCCCCCCCAATTTCACGTTTTAAACTAGGCCTAAATTTGGGGGGAGGGGCTTCATTTCACCTTATGCCTAGAAAACATGCTGGGTCTTCCTATTGGGGGGGTGCGTATTGTTGGAGAAACACAGTACTGTTTGGAAGGCACAGGGTGGTCACATTAAACATTGATTTGATTTGAATTTCTCTTCTGTTCATTTAATTTCCATTTTGTTAATTGATAAAAATAAACTATTAACACTATTTCTGAAAGCATTCTTGATTTACAGCACTTATGCACAGTATTTGTATGTAGCATTTTTATTTGTCAAGTGAAAGTGTTTGCACTTATCTGTGCTAAATTTCATTGTTACTTCCAGCCTATTTTGTATGTCAATATCGTTTTGAATTTTATATCAGTATCATTTTAAATTTTGTAGCTATCTTGCCAAGTTATTACAAAGTTATTACCATGGTGATTCTAGCTAATGTTGTAATGGGACCTGTCATTCATGTAGATGCTTAGCTAGAAGCCTTCAAGCTGGAGCTTAGATGTGTTCAGAGATCTTGAATTAAGGACTGACAGGATACATTGAAAGTATCTTGGAACAGGATTGAAGTCTCGGTCAATTTTTCTTATTGACCGAGTTTCTGCAGCATTGGAGTTACAATAAGACTAGATCTACTTTCAACAGAGATTGTAAAGTGTGTATTTTATAGGATCTAATGGAATCTGTAGCCAGGAATCCTATCTGTATAGTTTCATTAAGTACATTCTGGGATACTTGTACAGGGCTAGAATGGAACTGGAGAAGCCACACTTTAAGTGGAGGGCTTGATATCTATCCTTTTTTTTTTCCTTTGGGAGGAAATTATACTGAAGTGATGGACATTTTCTTGTAGAGCTAATGGCTTGGATCCTAAGTGAAAAGGAGAAAGTCAATCTCCTTTTCTAGCTGTTTCCATGCACTAGTCTGCTGCTGTTGCTTGAGTTTCTTGTGCACATGGATGTGTATATTTATATATTCCTAAGCCAAAAAGTTGGATCTTTGAAATGCAGTGCAGTGCAAACCACAGCTAATTTGTACTGTTAATTTTGCACTTTGGGAACTAGAAAAATTAAAGGAAATTAATTCAGGTTCATTTTCTACATTAACAAGCAATGGGAAGAATTAACTCAGACAAATATTAATATTCAAACAGAGAAACTATTTATTTTTACACACATCCAAAAAGTATGGAGAAAGTAGTTTCAAATTTACACAGAAAATTAGTTTAGTTTACATGCTCACATCACAGCACAAGGTTGTGCAACTTTTTAAAGCTAGGGAAGCAATTCCAAGAGGCTTGTGTCCTTCTAAGAGCTTAAAGAGATTGTAGCTAATGATTGATGTAACTAGAATGGAGGTGTGTACTAGGATTTACAGAATGAAACTGGTAGCATGTTGCAGAAGCGTATGGTATCTGTTGTGCTCAGTTCTTAATTTGAGGAAAGCTATGATTTAAAAGGTCTCCATTAGGTCTTTAGTCTATACAAAATCTGAGGCACCTGTCCAAATAATAAAACCCTTGTGGCATCTTGGTTAAGTTGGTCTAATCAAATCCAACCTTAGCTATGAAGGCCTAATAGGTGACCTTTGGATCCACCATTCTCCCTTAGCCTATTTTGCAAGGTTGCAGAGTGCCTATACATGCCATTTTTAGCTTGTAAAGGAGAGTTTTATCTCTGGTAACAATAGAAATACATCCAAAATATTTAACTCTACCCACCGTAGGTAGCCTACTTAACATTTCTAATCCCAAAGACAGAAATAGCTAAAAGAAAACTCAAATTCAAATTTGGGTGAAATTTGGATGAAATGATACTCTAGTGAAATATTAAAGCTGTGAACAAGTTTTACAGGCCAAGAGAAAATTGATTTCTAATGAAAGGGGAGCCAATGAGGTCAAAGCTTTAGAGACAACAGAGGAAAGGCAGCTTACCTGCTGCTGAAGCAGCATGTCAAAGGATTTTTGTACAGAAAAATGCTGTTTGCAGTATTTGGGACTTACTTCAATATTTATAAAAGGCAACATGTTAAGTTTATATAGACATCATCCAAAAGGCTATTATCCAGAAAGAAGGTTTTCTAGGAAATATAGCTGATGGTGGCATTAGGGCAATACAAGAAAAGGCTAATCTAATACAAGCCCAAATGATTTAGATTTAGAAACAGTGACTAGTTCCTATTGGTCTGAATCAGCTCTTGGATTGGTGGACCTATTTGACTGCTAAAAGCTATTTCCCTGAGCACTCAACATCTAGTAGATGCATTATTTTCCCAACAGACCTTTTAGTCAATTCAAATTGCTGAAATCTTGCTTGTACAGAACCTTTCTTCTATCAATGGAGAGAATTATGAACTTTACTTCTCCATGTAGCTTCCAGTTGTACATAGTTAGGATTGGCTGACAGTTGCAGACATTTTGTTGAGATGAAATCTCCAGACAGACAAGAGGAAACCCCAAAGTTTATGGCTACTAACCCTGCTTTTTCGCTTTCGAACATTATTGACTTTGTTTACTTCACTTACATTGCATATATGTATTTTTTCCATTTGTATGGCCAAACAAAAGCATAAAATTTGTTGCCATATGCTCATGGCAGTCGTTACCTTAGATTCTATTTCTGTTTCTATAGATACAGTGCTGGTTGAATGGCTGTTCAGATGCAAAAATGCAGGGTGGAAAATTAACATAAATGACACAGTAACTCATCCACAAGATTTATGGACCAATAGCTCGTCACAGGTGCGAGGATCAATCTTGTATTTATTTCCTATGATGCTTAAAAAAAACTATTTTTTGCTTCTCTTTTGAGTTCAACTTACATACTTTACATCCTCAAATTGAAAGAAATATTATAACACTGAATCTGCTGTATGCTTACTTCTCAGGTTACAAGTAGTTACAACTTAAGCATTGCCATAATACTGTTTAAAGGTAGTTCTTTCAACATTGGAATCTATGTTGAAGCAATAAAGCAAATAAGCTTGCTTGATAATAGCAATAGCACTTAGACCAGGGCTGTCAAAACTCCTGGCACACGGGCCAGATGCGTCACGCGCTGGCCATGCCTGGTTTAGCGAAGGGGGGAAAAGTCCCAATGCGTCACATGACGCTGCAATCTGAGTTTCATGCCCAACTTAGACTTATGAGGATATCCTAATGAGGGGAGAGCAGAATGTAGTTCTTTGCAGCTTTATTTCTGCAATACAGAAGATACGTGAGCTGTATGATCATAGATTTTGATCATGTCCCTAGATTATATACTTGTACAAAAAGTCAATTAATTGCAATAGTTTAATTGCAGAATGCCTGTTTATTCAGGTAATCTATGAAATTTAGTTTTCAAGAAGCATCTTTTATATTGCTGAGAACAGAAAATGCCCAATTTTTGTTATCATATATTTATGTCACCAAGAAGCCAGGGGAACCTAGTCTTCTGTGGTTAAAAAAGGAATTTATCTTAATGTCCACTATGCTAAAGTTTGATTTTCCGTATCAAACAGTCTACGAATTTTTACCGTGTCTTTTTAGAAAAAATGAAAGAAAACATCTTGTAACTAGGCAACTGAGAACATAATTTCCCTTTCCTTTAGTCCTGAAAAAATGGTAAGGTTGTATCTTCAGCAATGCAGAATTTGCAGGAGTGGGAGTGCAATAATGCCCTGGAAGTCTTAATAATAATTAGTCTATTCCATTTTGAAACCGAACCCAACTGTTTTTCTCTTCTACTCTAGAAATTGTTAGCTGATGGCCTTTGGATTATTCCGTCACTGATTTCCACCCCCACAATCCTTTATGGGCTTGTTTTATTGCAAATGTATTTTTCCGGGCCGGGGGGGGGGGGGGGGGGGACACAGATTCTAACTATAGTTAAGAAAAAAAATGTAGTCATTAGATTCTTGCTCTATAAAGGCTCAGTCCAGCTAATATCAAATTAATTGAAAAAGATCTGGCTGGAACCTCTGAAAGCATATCTTATGGCACTGTACAATAAAATAACCTATACCCTATCTCCATTTAATGTATGCTAGGTTTCCATTTAATTATAAAAAACTAATTTCTAAAACAAAAACTTTCATTTTGATTAATCTCTACAGTAGTGAATACAGCTAATAAGTTAATTCATTATTTTACTGAAATGAACTGTAGTTTCACACAAAACAATACTACAAGGAGGCAGAAATTAAATACATTAAGAAACTGCACAGGGAGGCTATTTTGGTTCTCTAATAACAGGTCACCCGATTTCCATTGTGATTTCCATCAGTATTATATGGATATTATAGCTTTGCAATACTTGTACTTACGAAAATGTCTTGTTTTGAGCACCTGTTGCTCCAATGAAAGGCTGTTGCAGATACTTTTAATATCAAGCCATTTAGTTCTATAAGCCTTCTATAATTCTGTTGCTGTTTCCTCAATTCTTGTAACAGGAATGTGAAAGTGCAGATTTTGAACTGTGTAAAATAATCCAAATTAAACCTATTTTGTACTAGTCACAAAAGCTCTCATGCACACAGAGGTCATGATGAAATCACAGGGTAATTCTTTGATTATATGCTGTTTATTTTCAGTGAAACCAAAGTATGCTACTGATGTTATCACAGAACTTCTTCACATTTGATGCAAATATGAAAGAGTTATATACAAAGTAATTAAGTGGCACTATTTTAAGAGAAGTAACCCCAGCCTCTAAAATTATATTAAGTAAAACATATCATATGCATAACTTGTGTAAGCTCCAACTGCACTGCAGCTGCATTACTTTGAATATAAGTGCCACATTAATGATCATTTCTCAAGACAAACTGAATAATTACCTTTAGACATTAGTTAAGAGCAATAAGTTTATCGCAGAAAACTAGTGCAACCTTTTTATTTTTCAGTCTGTTATTCTTATTATAATTCTAAACCATTTTGTAAGCTCGCATTCTTGCAAAATGTGTGTGCTGGAATTTCTACATGTTTTTATGTATGTGTGTATAGTATGCCACATACACATGCGCACACACAAAACCAATTTCATATTATCATTAAATAAAAGAACTTTACAGTACAATGTGATGGACTAAATTCTTGTTCAGGTATTCCTTTATTGTGTTCCCGAGGCACTCTGGACTGAAGAAGTAGAATCCTGATCGGGCAAGAAGGTAAATATGGGAGTGGCTGACTCTGAGAGCCCGGGAGGAAGCACATGGCGACACACAGGACAGGTTCCAGACTAGGCAAAAGAAAACACCACTGAAATTAGTTTCTTATAGTTAAATGGAGACATAGCATACATTAAATGGAGATAGGGTACAATTCAGCTCAGGAATTCAAGAGTAGCCAGATGTATAGTCTCAAATACATTTAAGGAAAAACTGCATATTAAAGAAAGCAAAAAAGCTAAAAAGACATAGATTCATATCTTTATGTTGCCTCCTTTAAAAGGCTCATGTCAACTTCATAGTAGTTTCTATGGTATAAATACTACTTTTGATAAAGGTATTAATTTTAATTACATATAAGAGAATATGTTCATGTGAGATTGTTGTTCAATCGCTAAGCCATGGCTGACACGTTGCGACCCCATGGACAGGGGAGCATGCCAGACTCCCCTGTCCTCTAGTCTTCTGGAGTTTGCACAAATTCATGTTCATTGCATCAATGACACTAACCATCTTCTGCCATCCCCTTCTCCTTTTGCTTTCAGTGTTACATGATATACAGAACTCCAATATTGTTAGGTATTTTAATAAGGTGCTTAGTATTAGACACTACATAAGATTCATCTGTTTAAAATATGCCATATATTATCCTAGGAAGCAGGCAAGTATATTTCAGTTAAATTGAGATATTTTCTGATCAAATAGCAATGTCTATGTGACACTTACTTAGTTCATTCCCCCATACTCTTTATATATATAGAATGAGATTAGTTTACAACTGATAAATACAGCAGGGATTTCTGTAATTTTCAAGTTCATGTGATAATCCAGCCACCTTGTCCCATGTAAAAGACTTAACTCACTGCTAAAACAATTGTCCAAATTATGATTTATTAAAATAAAAACTCTTCAGAAGTGTTGTGAGATCTGGAAGGGACTGTAAGTTCTCTTCATTGGGTAACTATCAATTTGAAACTGTTTAGTAGGTAGTCTGAGTGTTCTTAAGAGTATTCACCTCACTTATTAGGGCATATGAAAATCTATTTAATTGCCTGGTACATAGTGGAAATTATATTTCCAGTCTTTTTCATAGAGATCCATAGAATGGAATTTCAAACCTTTGAGAAATAATTTAACTTTTCAAGGATAGTGCTATATAACTCATTTTGCAAAGCACCTTTCCAAATGCTTTACCCAAGCCTAGAAGATATTAAATTTATTTTTATTTTTTATTTATTTATTTGTATCCTACCTTATTATTTTTACAAGTAACTCAAGGCAGCAACTTATCTAACCCACCTTTCTGCTCCCTTCTTTACCCACAATAGCAACCTTGTGAAGTACCATACCAATACAGATAATCAATTACGCACATCAATATACGGTGCTACTGTTGATGTGTTTCCAATCAAGACTGAACTAAACTAAGTCACTGATTTTAAACAGCAAAATCAGTGGGTATTTCTTACTGCTTTGCATACAGATCTAAGAGAGATAATCTGGGTTCAGCTCTACCCTGACAAGACACATCCATGGCTGTGGGTTTTGCCCCCTCTCCCCCATCCAGTGATTTGCCATCTTTAACTTTGCCTGGAATTACACCTCACCACCAGTAGTCAGAGATGGGGCACAACTGAAGATTCTCCTGGACTTAATTGTGACTAGGAGAATTTTTGCCCAAAAACACCTCATGTACCAGTTGTGCCTTTTCCTAGATCAGGAGAGATTGCTCAAGGTCACTCATGCCATAGTCAACTGGACTATTGCAAATGTTGCATGTGGGGATGTCCTTGAAAGCATTTAGAAGATACGGATGCTCCAAAATGCAGTAGCTTGGACAGTAGTGATCATATTGCAGTATGCCCAGGTAACACCATCTCTTGATGAACTGCACTGACTTCCGGTAACCTTCTGAATGTAATTCAAAGTGCTGGTTATCATCTTTAAAGTGCTATATGGCTCAAGGTCAGGTTACTTTTGCAATTGCCTATCCCTAATAGATGGGGTAGGCCTGCATCAAATTCCCTTATAAACTGTCACCTGTGGAACCTTGGAAGCATGTCTTGTCTGTTGGCCTTCCAGAAAACAGTGAAGGCCTGGCTTTTGCCAAGGTACTGGGACCACGGTGCGGATGGGATCAGCATACTATATTTGATTGATGTATGCAAGTTTTATCAGTCTCAACATTGGACTTTTTTGTTGTTTGTCTAAAATATTTTTGTTCTGTACTGCATTTTTTATCATTGTTGGCCACCCAGAGTTTCTTGTAATAGGTGGCCAACAGAAGATAGAGAGATAGAAATAGAGATAGATAGATAGAAGGGGGGGGGGGGGGGGAGAAACAGATAGTAGAGATATAGACATTAAAAAAACCTTCTAGTTTTTAAGCAGCATTAAAGTATAGCATAATTACACACCTTTTGTAACCAAAGCGTTATGCATGTCACGTGAAAGAAGTGGCGACATGGAAGCTCTGTTACAATTTCTTCTTTGATGTACTCACTACAGCAAATAGCACAACACTGTTCTTGCCCTACAGCTTAGGAAAACAATGTATATATTAGTATACAAATATAAAACTAGGTAATTAAAATTATGGTGAAATAGTTATTAATAAATTAAAATAGTTTTGAAAATAGTCACATTAGACCAAATTAAGTTACAAAAGATAATAATGTATCATATTATTAGATCATATACAGTTACTTGACCAAAACAGTGAGTATGTAATTTATCCTTACCATTGTGATCTTCTGTAATAATAATTTGTGGCAGACAATCTATGCTCTCTTTACTAGCTGGTGGATGAGCCTGCTCAACATCAATCGCAAGAGACTCTAGATGAGCTAGAGCGGTCTAGAAAAATACATGAAAAGAAACAAGCACATAATTATATATACATGTAAGCATGTGTATCTGTACAATCACTGTGTAGGATACTGTAACTATAAACTAGATATAAATTTCTTCTATTTTACAGAAATGAAGGCCATATTAATTAATATACATGACATTAACAAAGTTCTATAGTAAACATTAATTATATTATGAGAAATTATAATATAAACTTTGTTAATTAACTTCAGTGTATTTTATTAAGGTGGGTAACTGTCTATTCCAATTTCAATTGCTTTAGTAATAATGTGACATTGTCATGAATTATGGCTTTTTTTTTTCAATTACTTGTACTTGTAACTTGAAATTGGACCATAAAAATAGTGGCTTTAATAATCTAACACTAAGGAGGTATATATAAATAATGTCATCTTTTTAAATGCCACATACAGAGACATTTCTTTTTCAGTTTCCCACATTTCTAAGCAACAACTATCTCTCTTTATTGCTCTCTTTATCTCTCAACTATCTCTCTTTATTGCTCATTAAGTCAAATCTTTATTTCAGTCATTGATCAGTGTAAGTATTGCTTAGGAGAAAAGGACAGTCCACCATGCATGCTTATATGAAGTACTTAAGCAGCCACTACTATCTACTTCATAACTTTCCAGAAAGTCTTATTAGAATGTTTACGGAGAGAATGGTCACCACTCAGCTGACAGCCAAGACAAGCCTATGTAGAATAATTGCCTATGAGATAAAGAGCAGTTCCATATATTTGGGATAGAATACACATTTTCTCAGATTGCAAATATAATTTCCATATTAGTTAGAATTGTGAAATTCCAGTTCAACATATTTGGAAGGCAGCAAGTTGGAGAAGGCTTGTTTTTCATCTTGTTTCCACCTGTTATAATTTCAATCAAGTTTTCATTTATCAGACCACAAGTTTATACAGTATGAAAAGATTGCTACTTTTGGTGAACAAATGCCAAATTTCATATTCAACAACTCCCAGAATTCCTCAGCTGGCTGTATCAAGCTTAATATAAAGATTTTTGTTCTTAGAAGGATTGTAACCAATTCTGGCAATATAATTAATTATCTGTGCTTCTATAAGTGCCATTTATTCATTTATGTACTTTCACAAAATTGACATTTTTAAAGCACTTGTATCAATGGAATAAATATGTTCATTGCATAATAACCTTCATGTCAGTGAGATAATTTTGAACTTAATGGATTTTTTGATTTAACAGACATCCTTTCCCCCAGTCTGTTAATTCAAGGTTTTGCTTATTCATACATCTGACAGAATCTCACGTTGCTGGGTCAATAACAATAAAATGATAATTATATAATTATCTATGCATTTAATAAAACATTCTTTCTCTATCTAATGAATGTCCCTTTATAGCATGGGTATCAAACTTGATCGTGTCGTATGACGTATTGTGACTGTTTTTGCATTTGTGCAGCCAGAGTGGGCGTGCCCTGCACGTGGTGCATCTGGCCCACAGGCCACCAGTTTGACAGGGACAAACTGCTGCTTTGTAGGGACATTTTCAAAGTTCAGATAACTTAGTAATCAAGTAAGAAAGTTACTAGTTGAATTCATCTAGCTTGAAGGAATCCAGAAACACTTTATGCTCCTCAATTCATATCAGTTGGTTACTACTGCACAGAAAAATCTCAACTGATAAGCTCCACTGTTGGCAGCTTAAAAATGTGTTTGTTTACAATGAAAGCAACACATTCAAAACCACCACAGCATAGTACATAAGGTAACTAGGATAGCAGCTTCTGTTTAAAAAAGCAATGAAATAAAAATAACATTTATACCATGATGTCTTAATATATATCTATCTATCTCATTTGCCTCTTTGCCTGTGCAACAAATGAACAAATAATCAGATAAAAAGCAAGAGCTAGCATTCACAAGGGTCTAGCCGTGCAGTGTAAAACAGTGTAAAATCATACAACTAATCTAATAAAGTAAGTTTGAATATTGTTCAGAGTAAGAAAGTACACACTTTGAAAATGTAATCTTCTAAGCATTTTTGAATTACATTTTCTTAATCTTTATGACAAGTATAATAAATTAAACTAAGCTATACTGTAAGATTTACATTCAATATGGTTCTGTAGTTAGTATATGGCAATGTCTGAGAAAAAACCACAACCCAATCCAATAGGTGACACTGTTAATTCATTGCTAAAATTATTAATCAAACAAATCTTTGATAGTAAATTCAGTAAGAATTTAAATAGTGCCATGACTTTTACATAATTGGGCCAATGTTTCTCTTTCCAATTAGACATGCCTTGTTTTTCATTTGCCTGATTCTTCTGCCTTCTGCACAAAATGAAAAAAAAAAAGATGAATATTTAAATGCCCTTGTACACACAATATTGAAGTAGACACAATCATGGGAAAGTGAATACATGAAAAGAATTGAGAAATTAGTTGTAGCTCAATTATATATGTATAATTTGTATGTATAGTATTCAGCTTTGTTCGGGTATTTTCCCACGTCATTATAGTTGTGCTTTTAAAGTACAGAAGCCTAATGATGGCAGATGAGATTCTGCCGAAATGTTGCTATAACTTTAAAAGCACAACTATAATGATGTGGGAAAATACCCGAACAAAGCTGAATACCATACATACATACATACATACATACAAACAAACAAACAAATATACACATACATACATACACACTGTGTGGGGGGTATATGTTATCTGAAGCTCAGAATTAATTCTAAATTAATATATCTTTCTTCCAGTTGTTATAAAGTCATTTCTAATAATGCAAGCTATAAAAACTGTAGTTATGTCAGAAGGCACAGAAAACTGATCTATATTTCCTAAAATGTGATCTATGACCCAGTACCAGTTCTTGTGAAAAAAAAAAAAAAAGCTACTTAGGAAATACACAGATACTCATTCTCTTTCTAATCTGAAGAGTTGCAAACTTGGCAATATTCTGTGCAGAAGGGAATAAAGTAATCACTGCTTTAAAATTTCCAACTACAATATTGGTAATCAGGCCTTAAAAGAATTAACCTTATGGATACACAAAAACCTGGCTTTCAATTTGTACATGAAACTAATTGCCCCCCTCTGAAACAACAGATAAAAGAAACTATGGATAATGAGAACTACTTGAACATCTTTTGAGGTGAACTAATTAGGATGCTGCTTTTAAAAAATCAAGGACCTTTAAGTATGATTCACTAAGAGCTATCGTATAATTATTTTCTACTTTTAAAAAACTTACTAATGTATTCTTCTAATAACAAATGTTTTAGTTATATATGAACATTCCAACCAATAGTCAAGACAAGTTATCTATTTCCTATTAGTAAAAAGTTAATTTACTAGATATGGTTTCAAAGGCTTTATTCAAAAAATACCTGAGGACCTTTAGGGTAATCAGTGATTTTATTGTTCAAAGCAATATTGACTGGAAAGATGTGTTGGAGCAAGCAGTTGTGGGACATGAGCAATGGCAGTTATACTGGGCTTACTTTGTAGACTGTATTGTAATATTTAGATTTAGCACCACATGTAGAAACTGTGCTGTCCCTTCTGAATTCTACCTGAAATATATACATTCTATAATTTATACTTGAAATTATATCATCATCATCTCAGGCAAAAAATAGAAATGAATATGATACTTCATATTATGGATATATTTCATGGCTTGAAGGCTATCAAAAGAAAGACATGTTTTTGAAATTAAAGATGAATTTTTGTTCTTCCTTGAGTGACATCTTCTATCAACAATGATAATTTAAAATTAGAGAGAGGTCTCATGAGCTTGATTGGTTAACAACAGTGATTTATTTATTGACATATTTTGGGTTTTATGTAAGTTAAATTTAAATTTACAAGGCCTAATGTTTAAAAAAGCAAGGAAGCAATAATTAATAACTCTTATGGATACAGCAAGTCAACTACATAGCTGTTTTAAAAGCTTTTTGTTCTTTAATCAAATTATAAGAAAAATATGGTGAAAATAATCTCTATCATCATTATGTCTGATGTATTTTATGCAAATCTTTTTCAGCTAACATTGTTTAAAGGAGTATTTTCCTCCAAGACAAAAATATTAAGAACCAATTTGTACTCAGTCAACATAAGACAAAATCTTTTGTTGAGTCTTATCTTAGTCTTATAATTAAAAAGAGATTTAAAAGATACTGGAGTCCTTGATAAATGACCATTCATTCAGTGACTGTTCAAAAGTGCAAGAGCCTGAACAAAGGTGATTTGGGAGGGGCTATATTTGGGTGGTCACAGCATCCTTGTCGAGTGATCACACACTGGGTACTTGGCAACAAGAGCACAGTTATGAATGTGATCACCATTTTTAACCTTCACTGACTGCATCTGACAAGCGAAGTCTGTGGGGAAGCAGGCGGTTGCAAATGCCAAACACATTCATAGTCCTGCATAGTCACAGCAGCAACTGCGACTGTCATAACTGCTGTTGTAAGTTGACATGGTCATGTGATGTGTTTTATGCATCACTTAGCAACAGTTGCCAATTCCAATCACCCCTGCTAAGTGAGGGCTTCTACTTAATATATGCTGATATCCATAGCCTTTAAACAAGAAATATAGTAGTGTTACTGCTGAAAGTGAAGATACCTCCGTGCTGTGATGTCATGGAGGTCAGATAACTTTCTAATTGTATCCAAAGAAGGGGCCTTTTTTTGATCACTTATATGCCATTGAAAAAACAAATGTTAAAATATATGTGTAATGGTAAAACTAAAAATAAACTAAGTGGCTCAGTGGTTAAAACGCAGTATTGCAGGCAAACTCTGCTAACAGCCTGGAGTTCAATCCTGACAAGGCTCAAGACTGACTCAGCATTCTGTCCTTGGGTAAAATGAAGATCCAGATTGTTTGGGGCAATATTCAAATAATGTTTACATTAAAACTGCCCAGAGAGTTTATAAAGCACTATGGGGCAGTATATAAGCCTAAATTTTATTGCTGGTCATAATTTAGATTAATGGTTCCCAAAGTGGGTGGTACCGCCCCCTGGGGTGGTGGTGGGATGCCTTAGGGGGGCGCTAAGAGGCAAGGGGGCTGGCAGGGGGATGCTGGAGGAGTTCAGCCGCACCGAAAAAAACATGCGGCGGATGGAAGTTTTTTGCAGGCACGGGATCTACGTAGCGCTGCAGGCAGGATTCACCCTTCCCATCCCGGAAGCGCTGCCTACATTGAGCCGCGACAGGTCCCCACATGGGCCGGGTCAAGCTGGCTGCAAGGAAAGTCTCCCCAAGGAAGCGAGGTAAAAGCACATGTGTCGTCTCATAGTTGTGTTGCAGGAATTACATAGGGCGGGCCTTTCGGCATGTTGAGCGTTCTTGGTGGAGTCGAGTGTTGGGAGGTTTTGCTTGGTGGGCCAAGGCCTAGAAGTCGGTGCAAAGTGGTGTTAGGGATTACAGGAGGTGGGACGGGCTCTGCTTGTAAGCGGCACCGCGGCAGGGGGGCATTCGAGGTGGCAGGGGGGCGTTCGAGGTGCTGGCACCGCAGGCTCATCCCATTTACTTTTGCACCTGAGCGGGGCAAGAGGCTCAATGGCGTTGAATGCAGCGGTGGCAGCACATTGGGAAAGTCACTCTGGCTTTGTTCTACTTTCTTAAAGTGCCGCCACTGTCGCATTCTGTCTGTCTGTCCATACATCCAAAAGGTCTATCAGTCTGTATGTCTGCCTGCCTGCCTACCTACCTGCCTGCCTTTCTGTCTACCTATCTATCCATCCAAAAGGTCTCTGTCTGTCTGTACTCCTGCCTTCCTGCCTGCCTGCCTACCTACCTACCAATATATCTACCTACCTGTCTCTCTCCCTCTCTATCCATCCATCCACGTTCAAAGCATCGGCCCCGCAGGCACATCGGGAAAGTAAAGCAAAGCCAGTCTGGGAGGGAGGGAGGGAGGGAGAGAGAGAGAAACCTGATGCATCAGATTGAAATGATGCCTAGTTTAGACTGAGGTCCTTTTCCACATTGAAACATCTTTGGCTTCTATTAAAGGTTTTGTGCAGAAAACATGGTCAAGACTATCAGGAAGCTCTCACATTTTGTTGAGGCTTTAAACAGGATCTATTGGATCAGATCTCCACCCTAAAAAAATTACTTTTCCCCAATGTATTACAGTGCCAATTCTGAAGAAGGCCCAAAATGTACTGGTAAATTACAAGGAGAACACACATATACACAGACACAGACACACACTCCCTTCTAACTGTGCTGGAGCAGGTGATTGGACTAGAATAGATATCTCATTATCTTTCTCCTCCCTCCTTCTTTCTTTTTCTTTCTGTCCCTTCCTTCCACCCCCACTCTTTCTTTGTCTGTTCCTTTATTGTTGTTTCCCTTTTCTCTTTTCTTCCTTCTCTCTTTTTCTCTCTCTTTCTTTTCTTTCTCTCTCTTTCCCTCTCTCAAGCTCACCCCATTGACTTGGTGCACCGCTTCTTTGGGACTTGCTTGGGCAGGTCCCTCCATTGCAGCAGGCTCAATGGCAGTGGCGGAACGTTTGAAAAGTAGAGCAAAGCTAGAGGTCGGTAATTTTTGCTGCAAAGAATCACAAAAGCTTCTGGGCTGTGCACAAGAAGGGACACACATGTCAATGCAATTCAGCGACATAAAATAAAGAAATACAAATAAAACAAATCAACAAGAATTGGCAAAGCATCTCTGATTAGATTTTATTCACTACTAGAATCTAATCAGAGATGCTTTGCCAATTCTAGTGCAATGATCTGCTCCAGCAGGGTTAGAAGGGTGTGTGTGTGTGTGTGTGTGTGTGTGTGTGTGTGTGTGTGAGCGCGTGGCTGTCAAAACTCCAAAAACAGATCAAGTAGCTCTGGAGAGGCAAGTCATAAATTAGAACACTTGCTAAACAAACAGCCATTAAGTGAGGACCACTTGTATTTGGTTTGCCAGTTACTTGGCCACGCCTGCCCAGTCACATGATCACCAAACCACACCTACCCAGTCATGTGACCAGCAAGCCATGCCCAGCCAGCAAGCCAGCCAGTCACATGACCAGCAAATCACAGCCAGTCATGTGACCAGCAAGCCACGCCCTCAAATTAGGTCACGTTCACAGAAATTTGAATCCCACCCCTGGGTGGGGGGCACCGAGGATGAGTTTGTAGCACCAAGGGGGTGGTGGACTGAAAAAGTATGGGAACCACTGATTTAGATAAAGAAAATGTTTCCATTAAAAAGCACACCTTAGTATCTTAATTAAAATTTTACTTAAAGTAACCTAAAAGTTATCATCATAGCATTATAACATAAGGCTAAAAATTCACTTAATGGCATTCTTATTCTAATAGTGGCACCTCCCTAAATAATACAGATATATGTAGCAGTAATACAGAAAGTAGAAAAGCATACAAAAAATCCATTTATGAAATGATATGAAATAATCTCCCTAAATTTTCTTCTTGTTCCAGGTCACTGAGAGCCTCTTCGCAGATTTCCATGGCCTTAAAATGTACATCAATTTCATATTTTAATGCTAAATTGTATTAAGATAAGTGGAAAATCACTGCAGGTAACAGTTGATATTGGCGGTAGACAAAGTATCAGGACTTCCCTCCTAATTAATTGATATTGATGTAGCTAACTTATCATTAATGGCAAAAACCAAAATGATGTGCTTGCTGTATTTTTTTCTAATTTCTATATTAACTCTATTTGAACGAAATCAAACTGTCAATCAGTGCCCTTCTCTATTTGTAAAATTCATATATACTCAGTGGTGAGCTTCAAAAAATTTAGCAACAGATTCTCTGCCCAGTTGCTGGGTGGACTAGGCCACGGTGGGTGTGGCCTAGTCGGCCTCCATCACAGAAGGGAGGCCATTTTTGCCCTCCCCGAGCTCCAGAGGCTCTCTGGAGGCCTGAAATGGTTCCGTTTCTGGCTTTCCAGAGGCCCATTTTTCATCCTCTCTGAGCACTTACCTGGGATGGAAAACAGGTTATGTGGAGACTTCTAGGAGCAGCAGAGTGAAGTGGGTGGGGCCAGTCAGTTGTTGCAACTACTGGTTTGGTGAACCAGATGTAAAATTAACACCTGGCCCTCCCAAACTGGTGTGAACCGGTAGCAGCCCACTCTTGGGTATTCTTATCCTAGATGCTATTAGTATTACAACGTGCAGAGTTTTACAGCCTTCAGTATGAATACAAAGTTACTGTTTCTAAAGCAATTTTATTAAAATACAGTTCTTATAGAAAGGATGTATTTTCAGTTGAGGTTCTAAACTTTTCCTTAAACATATAGAAATCGGTTGCTTCTGGTGGATGGTCTTAAGTAAAACCAAAACAATATCTGTCTGGATATTTGTTGATGAAGATACATCTAATTTAATGTGTGTGTGTGTGTGTGTGTGTGTGTGTGTGTGTGTGTGTGTATGTGTGTGCAGAATCATAGCTAAGATAGAACTGTGATAGCTTCAATAACTGCAAGAATCAATACCAATAACATGTAGTAATTATTTCATGCTATTAACATTTCAAACGATGTCATTTTAAAAAAATAGAATGTTTGGAATTCCAAAACCTCCATGCAAAAATTTTCTGCAGTGCAATACAATTTGAGAGATCACTGCTACACACTCACACATAAGTGACTTACTCAACCACAAAAATACATACAAATAAAATGCTGCCTACCTCTCAATTTAAATATATTATCTACATGTGGAATGTAGGCAATCAGAAATTGCAAGTACCTGTAGACGCTGATAAGTCATTTCCATGAACATGCTTGTTACCTGAATTTGAAAAGATTCAGGTTAGTGAAGGGAGGAGCACAACTTTTTAAAAAATTGTACCCGACACCTAACTACAGAATTTTACTTATGAAAACTAGAAAATATTGCTTTGGGATTAGCACAACTGAAAGGATCTCCCCCCTACCCCAACTAAATGAAAGCTTACATTTAAATGGACAATGGTTTTGAATCTGCTGGTAAACTATTTTAGGTTGTTTGCTTCAAATTATAACCTCCAAGTATTAGGTTTAACTAGAGGTGTTTTTATTGTCACTACCAGAACAGATATATTAAAACTATCAAAACTAATAATTAATCATGTACAAGATTCTTCAAACATTTTCCGATCAATGAGACCTGGGCAGAATATTGAAAGCAAGTCTAATGTGACTTCATAAAGAGAAAATCTCAAATTACAGAAGATGCAGTTGAGTCTCTTTTTCACCTACTCTTGTATTTCCTCTTCCTAAGATTTCCTACCATTTGTCAAAATTTACATAATTATTTGAAACTTCAAAAATCCATCCAATTCAAGATGCCAAGTGCACTTTACTAAGTTGGATATGATGCCAAAAAGTTATTTAAATTTACAAGGGCAATATAAGACCAAATGCATTATCTATGGAAATTTTCCTCATGTCATGAATTGCTGCCATAATTATTTTATCTATTTTTCATAGAATAGATGTATAGCAGCATAATGTTTTATAATGGTGTATAAAAGTTTATTTGGCTATAATTTATTTTTATTTTTTAGCTATAATTATACTTTACTGAAAATCTCTTAATATGGATTCAAGTTGCTTAAAGCAGTATCTTGAGAAATGATTATAATATACTTTAAATGAGAAAATAATATTTGACTAGCAGTTTTACATTACACTGGTGTTTGGCAATGTCGATGAAGATTTGCAGTAGTTGTCTTGAAGTTGAGTCATGGAAACTAAGAAGCTACTTGAATAAGCAGTGAAAAATGTTTCAAACCACAAAAGAAAACAAGTTCAGTTGCCGTGACTCAACTTCCAGGATACACTGGCGTTGTGTTTTTTTACGGAAATTAAGCCACATATATCAAGCATACACAATATTTTCAAAGAATGTACACTTCTTTAATGTATAGACTCATGCATTGCTTGGTTCAAAAGTTGTACAGTCTTGCTTTTCACAAAGCTCAGGAAGCTCAAAATCTCTTAAAGGAATTATTACTATTAGCAATTAACAATGGTTTCTTTATATAAAAGATCGGTAGTGTGGTAAGAAATAGAAATCCATATTAATGTAAGAAATAGAATCTCTGGTAACAGATTAAACAGAATGGCTTGTTTTAAATTCAACTGAAATAGATAATCCATTTAGTAACAAGATGACCTACTTTAAAACAAGTGAAGTACTGTGTTGGGATAATGCTAAGATGGTTTTTAAATGTTTTTTACTGCCTAGCTGGGAATATTAAGCATTATACACTGGAATAAAATATTTAATTTTATTCAACTATACTTGGAAAAAAGGGATTGCAATTATTAAACTATAAAATCTTTTAAATTGCAAAATCATGTATGTGTATTTACTTATGGATTTATAATATTGTATTTCCAAGTATGTTTTTACTTAGGAGTGAAAAAGATGCCAGTTTTTAAATCAATGTATTTTAAAAAGCCCAGAGAAGAATTAGCAGGATTTTGAAACAACTGCAACTCCAGTTCCAGAACATGACAAGTATCAGATCTTATCAACATTGCCAGCACATTGCTGCTGCAATTAACATCTTTGCTATTAATGTTTGCAAAGGTAATGAAGAAGCATCTTGACAATAAAACTGATCAGAAATGGCATCTGCTTCTTTGAAATTTTAAATACTTTGGAAGCTCTTAATATGAACACTGGAGGCATGTGTGGTAGAGTTTTGTCATTAAGTAATAGAAAGCAAATATGATGCAAATGCTCTCAATAATTCATGCTTTTATATTCTGATCATTTTTCTGATGGTTTATAAAAATGTCCATATTTAGAATTTATATATTTAAGTACACATACAATCATTTTCAGAAGATACAAATGTGACATCTTTCTATTTATACATATATGTAGATTCTAAAATTGCAATTGGGAAAGCATTCAAATGACAGCCTAAGTTGACTTAAAATAAAAATATTTATTTTGAAAAATACAGGCAGCATGGAAAAAAGTTATCAGTTAAATATTCCTATGCCATTCAAGATCCAGTGATAGAACACTATATGCAGTTTTGTGTTTTACAATGAAAAAAATAGTTTGCATTTGTTAAAATCAGTGGACCTTTTTTAGCCTAAATATGTGGACACTGAAAGTTTTCAGAATTGCTCGCTTCTATTTTTTCACTAAAACAAAACAAAAACCTATGGAAATGTTATAAAATAACTTTTTATTTGCTAAGTATTCAGTAACCAACTTTGATCTACAATTTAATTTACTCATGATCAATATTTTAAAAATAATCTTCAGAAACCATATTATCTATATACTACTATAACTCATGTTTAATTGAACAAAACATTGTATCATAAGGCAAAACTTTGCCAACAAAGGGATCTCAAAGAAATTACAAAAAAATCTGGACATCTCACAGACGGGAGTAAATATTCTATTAAATCCCCATTAAAATGCCTCCACGAAAACCAAATATGTAGAAAAAGATAAAATATGCTTTAATTTGATGTCCCATTATTTTTATATCCATAGATCCAGAACTAGCAAAAAAATCCATGGCACTGGTACTACATAACACAGCCAACTTCACTAAGATCGAAATACCTGATTCACTATCTGCTTTCTGTTTGAACACTAACACACTGCAGTAACCCAGAATACTAGAAAAAGGAAACAGACCACCTACACAACATTTTCCAACAAAATGGATATCCACACAACTTTTTCAGAAACCACCTTACCACTCAACCCACTATAGCACAACCAATACAAGCTTGCAGTGTGTGCCTCTCCATTCTTCCTCCAGACTCTGGGTCCTTGGTTTCCAAATGAGATGCAAAAGTTGCTCTCATCAGAAAAGAGGACTGTGGACCACTGAGCAACAGACCAGTTCTGTTTTTCTTTAGCCCAGGTAAGGACTCCTCTGCAACTAAAAATAAATGATTATACAACATTCTTGTGACTACGTTCATATCTTTCTTACACATTCCAATAATTCTAGGCACATAATTCCTAATCCATACGTCTACTGGAAGCAAGGGAAGAAAGATCTATTTTCCTTGTCAAAAATATCAGCCCCACCATTTGTATGCATCCCAGTCTTCCCCTCTTCCTCCTGCACTGCTCCTGCATCTCTTTCCTTGCACAAAAAGTATACTGACTTTACCAATGCTCTGAGGAAAAAAGAAGCAGTTAATTTGCCTCTTCATTTAACTCGCACCATCAACTAAAAGCCCCCAGCCCAGCTCGCAGGCTATTTTAAATGAGTTTCCAGACTACAATTTGAAGGAAGTTTTTATTTATCCTTCTTTCTACATCTCCAGCCTCTGCACCCCCATTTTTTTGCACCAAAGAAAAATAAATTCTGGCAGCAATAGGCAATTGTTTCTGAGGTTTTATTTTTGATGTGTTGCCTGGAGTGCTGTTTTGTAATAATTCCGCAATTTGTTCTTGTCTATTTTGTTGTATTTTGTTTTTTATATTTTTCATTATTCTGTCAGCTGCCAATAGTCACTTGGAGTTGCACAATTTTAAAACCAAGTTAACAAACAAGTAAATATTACAGGCTTCCTAACCCTGTAACCATTACAAAACAGAACCCACTGCCTCTTATTTCAGATCTGATGGACCGTTTTTACTCACCTAATTGGACTTATGAAGAAGCACTTACAATTAGATCAAAAGGAATGTGAATTGTGAATATAATAGTATCTGATACTAAGTGCAGCAAATTTGATACATAATTGGTTCATTGTTCAGCTGTCTTCTTCAGGTTCATGAAGAACACACTTTCCAATATTTTGCATAAATAAGTGGTAGTGCACCTGAATAACATCCTGATTCCTTTTCAGAAGACCATCCTTAAATGAGACTCACATTAGAACTGTCTTGGAGCAAATCTATGAACACAACTTTTTGGCTCAGTTGGAAAAATATGTATTTAATTTTCCCCAAAAGGAGTATTTGGATTACTTGACTTTTCGTTTTATTATAGATTTATTCTTCCAAGTAAATGGAACTGTGTTTTTTTTTTTAGTAAAAAGCTTCTGGTTGCAACAGTAGCATTCAGCAAGAGAGACATTTTTTGGAGGATACAAACTATCCAGTACAGGTACACACATATTGCAAACATTTGGAGCACATTTACAAAATCACAAAGTTAAGATCTTCAATCCACATCAGATGACAAGGGCATAATTTTCCTTCAACTTTTAGAATGCTTGACTCATAGAATAGCCAGGTACATCATTATCATTATATTTTAAGGATGAAATGTAAATACTATCAATATTGCAGTTACTTTTTCTATGGTAATTGTGGTACAATTAGATAAAAAGATATATTTCATTATTATTAATTATTATATATTACATTACATACATTAAAACAATCTAAATCCACAATGAAAGTTAATGATAGACTTAACCCATGGTTTTTCTCACCTTATCTAATCTTAAAACTTACCTCCATTGCCTGTGCCAATCGTTCTTCCAAGGCCATATAAGTAAGGAACTGGGGATCCACATACGAAATTGCTTGGGCAACCCCAAGACCATCCCCAAATTCATCAAGCAGCCTACAGGGAAAATATAGCGTTATTTTTTTTATATCTAAGTAGAGTTGAAAACATGTGCAGTGATGCTGAAAAATGTTTCTAAATAAATATGACCTTACATTATTTATACATGGTGAAAAAAATAAATTTCTGCTATTTTACATTCAGATATAAAAATAAATAGAATGCAAACAGTAAGAGACTAGCTGTTTAATGAGGCTACTTCTAGAATATCAGGACATTAGTGAATTGAGTGACAAACTGAACACAGCCTTGCAGGAAAACTCATTTATCCCATGTGAGATGAGATCCAACATATGAGTTCAATTCTTGAGACTGGAATGACATAGACATAGCAAAATAATATTTTCTTATTTTGTGTCTCCCACCTCTTTCAGCGTTCTAATTTTCTAACTTTTTCAACTTACTCAGACCTCTCTCAAACCATTAAGCATTTAATCTGTGTAAAGGATGACAATCAAAGAGCAAGGGGCAACTACTATTAAGCCCAGTTTGGCTCTGATGCCCATCATTGTCATATATTTCTGACATGACATTAACAAGAAGTTCTTACATCTATCATGGAATAAGGGTTTCATTATGCAATTCTATTTTAAATAAAATATGAGCCAGGTATGTTCCCAATCACCATTTAGCTGGGTTAAAATACCAAAGGTAGCAGCAGAGTCTACCAACCTCCATTCAACATCTAGATCTTCACTCATACTGGAATCATCTTCTAGATTGTTGTTTCCATCCAACATAAAAAAGCCAGGATGTACAAAATGGCTATCTTGATCATTTTCTTCATCACTGCTACTTTCAATTTCTTCATGATACTGCAACCAAGGAATCTCTCCATCCTCTAGGGATGTCTGTTCCCTTTATATAAAAATGAAAAAAGTGATACAAAATATAGCAAATACTAAATTTACATGTAAGCAAACAGTATAGAAAGTACAGAATCCTTTATTTATGCTGAGTGCTAACAGTCAAATACCTGCAATCTATTTTCAAAAGACATCACTTTAAAAATAATAGACAGCACAGTTCAACAGTGCAGCTAAAATGTGATGCTTTATGAACTATATTTATGTGACATGTATATATATTTTATCTTAAGATACACCACAGCATACAGCACAGCAATAACCCAAAATGTTTATTATGTTTTTTTAAATAAACAGATATTGGTTTTTGCTATGCTATAAAGAGAATGCAAGGTAATAATTTTATTCTGCTGGGGACTGAAGAAAGAAATACATTTTACTTCTATGGCTGCCCTTCTTAGATACATAACTCTGGACAACTTAACAGTTCACAACAACAACAAAACAAGCCAAAAATCCCTGTAATAAAACAATGTTATAGTTAAAAACAGCCAAAATATTTATATGATCTGAAAAGAGACCAGTGTAAACAAAGACTCTGCCCCTGTGGAGAAAATTCTATGGAGAGTTCCTGAAACCATAACTTTTATACTGCTGCCATCACAAAGGTTTCCCAGTGGCAGCTAACACTGCCCTAGATTTCCAGGCAGCCTAGATCCAATGTATTTATAGCTGCTATTATCAAATCAAATTGTATTTATTTCTCTTAACATGGTTAACCTTTGTGTACTAAATAAATATCATACCAATTGTATAATTATTGGGTACTTTTGTGATTATTTCTTGCTGCCTTACATTTAATGTTTTCATTTTGTTTCTAAGCTGATATGTGATTGTAATGGAAGCCAGTTTGGTATATGAGTTAAGGCATCAGGCTAGAAAACAGGACACCATGAGTTTTAGTCCTGCCTTATGTACAAAGCCAGATCGGGCCAATCACTTTCTGTCCACCAGAGGAATAAGCAAATGGTAAATCTCTACTGAAAAATCTTGCCAACAAGCAGGGACTTGACCAGGCAGTGTCACAGAATCAGACACAACAAACAGAGGAAAATCAATGAAGAAAAGGAATGTAATAAATAAATAAATAAAAAGTAAGGTTCTACATTTAGACAAGAAAAACAAAATGCATAGGTACAGTATAGGTGATACCTCACTCAATAGTGGTAACTGTGAGAGGGATCTTGGGTGTCCTAGAGATTGAACAACCACTTGTCTGAAATAATATAGAGTTTCCTGCCTAAGCAGGGGGTTGGACTAGAATTACCTCCAAGGTCCCTTCCAACTGTTATTCTATTCTAAACGTCTTTCTTTTTATGTAGTTAAATTAGTCCAAAATAAAAAGAAACCAAGCTTTCCTTCTACAAATGCACATTACAAACTAATGTAATTGTTGGACTGTAACATCTGTGACCTAATGCCTGAATAAAAAGTCAAATCTTACTGATTCCAATGCAATTTCCCCTAAAATGGTTCATATCCTATGAACTGTCTTCCCATAAATCAATCTTCATATTTGCTCTATTTCCATTTTCATTAAGTTTTATATTTTTTAAGAGCAAAAAAAATTAAATCATTAAGAGAAATCATTGACTTTAGTGACACCATGTTACTATATGATTAAAGTCCTGTCAGTTACAGGCAACTGTACGCAGGCTAATTAAGATCACAAAGGTGACTTGTTAACTTGCAGTTAGCACTTTTTAAGGAAGTGCTACACTGCTGAGAAAAGCAGCTCAGGGAGAGATTTTGTTTAGGCAATCTCTTCACTGTGAGGGGAAGATAAAGAAAACGGGTCAGGCACAGAACAACAATGCCAATTGACTGTAATGGCAAATGTGATGGAAAGAGAGAAATGTTGCAAAGGTAATAAATGTGGGCATTGATTGCAAAGTTACATTTTCATCTTTATAACTCCAAATATTTGCTGACTGAGGAAGTTGCTAAGCAAGAACTGCCTGGAATATTGCGATATTTCAGAATGCATGTGAAGCAATTCCCTTTGTTTTACCCCCAATTAAGAATGCAGGTTTCTCCTTTTTTGTTTATTTCTCTGAAGTGTTTAATACTTTTTAAAATGCTGTGCTCTTTTGGCATTTATGATAGTAATCCAAATGGCAAAAAACCATAAAATTATACATTACCAAAGAGGAAAAGCAAGACAGTAGTATATATATTACAGAACTCCTTGTTAATTACTGACGAATAAAACAAGAGTATAATATATTGTAAAAATGTATTTTATGGAAGTCTAAATTTTTCTGTGGGGGCGATTCTCTTATGAATTATTCCTTCAGTTACATTGGCTATTTTGTAAACCAGTCTCATTTCATGTGGTGATGGGCCTAGTGATTAGTTACACGATGTATCTTCACAATCCTTACATATTACTAGAAGCATTCCTTATTAGATATCATTAATTACATATAAAGACTTAAAAATATAAAACATAAGTGATACCATAAACCAGTTTTAATGAGCACATAGCTGGTTATTCCAGAGTCAGTTGTAGTGAAATAGATTTAGTTTGCTGTGCTTCCTTATGCCTGTGTACTGCTCCTACTCCTCTTAGATGTTTTAAAAATTCCTTTTAGATTTTTGTTTTATATTTTTAACTTTTCATATGTAATAACTTATTCTGATGTTTTTATACTTTTTAACGGTATCCTACCCTCTTATACTGGTCTTTGCCTGTAATAAAAAGATTTGATTTGATTAGTGCACAAAAGGATTTGCCCTTTTATTCCATGGCTGTTTAAGCTTAATGAGAAGTCTTTGAAAAGGGACATTATCTAAGGCTTTTTGAACTCTAAACAGACAGTTCCTATTGGTTCATCTTTCCACATACTTATTAACACCCTCCAAAACCTCTGTTCAATTAATTAGGTAAGACTTTCCCTTAGCAAACTCATGTTGGGTATTCCTAAACATAGCCTGTGTCTCTAAAAGTTTGGTAATTTTATCTTTAACAGTGGTTTCCACTAACTTCCTTAGAACATATGTTAAGCTGACAGGCTTCAACTCCCTGTAAGGCTTTATTAAAAGTAAAAACCTATTAGCTAACTTTCCAGTCTACCTCAGAGCCCAAGTATAAAGACAGGTTGCATATTTTAATTAACAGGTCTACAATTTCAACTTTAAAATTCTTAATAAACCTTGGGTAGATGCCATTCAGGCCTGGTCATTTGTTAATGTTCAATTTGTCAATAAGATCTAGCACTTCTGTTATCACCAATATGTCTCAATTCTTTTGATTGTTTTCCTGAAAACAGAAACTTGGGTTTAGGAAAGAGATTGCAAAAAGCACAATTTCTGAGGCTGTCATAACTTGACTGGTGGTACTTGTTTGTAAGTTGAGGGCTACCTATGCAAGTGTTCTACACTCATGCGGTCTGTCTACCATCATAACTATTCTAGAAGTTATATATTTATTTAAATGTAATATATGTTTAGCCTGTTTTAATATATGTTGAAAATATGATTTTAAGTTTTTGTTATATTAGAGTTTTTTAAATTTTAAATTTGAACTTTAGCCCCTCTTCTCTCTTAAGGGTTCTCTGATTCTATCGCGGTTGCTAAGGGCAGAAAGATCAGCAGTTATCTCAAGTCAGAAAAGCATTTTAAAACTGCACCAAACACAGGTATATCTTCCCCCTAAAAACCTCACATTTAATTTCTTAATCCATTTGCCTCCCCTTCTTATGACCAATTTCCACCCAATTTCTGTTTCTCCTTTGCTCTCAGCAAAACTGTATACATACAGTGCAATATAATGCTGGAGTACACAACATATGAACAT